ACTACAAAATGACATAGGCTGTGTGTGAAAATACACACTGGATTTTTAAAGCACTGGTGTGGCCCTGGCTGGTTAACTCAGTTTCTTAGAGCATTGCCCCTGTACACCAAGGTTGCACTTCCATCTCCAGCCAGGGTACACTCAGGAAGCAACCAATGAATGCATCAACAAATGGAACAACAGAAGATGGAGGCATAGGTAGATACACTTTGACTCCTTGCACAACCAAAAGAAGAACAACAACAAATTTAAAGACAAAGAACAACCAGAACTGCCAGAAAAATCAAACTGTATGGAAGTCCGACAACCAAGGAGTTAAAGAAGAAACATTCATCCAGACTGGTAGGAGGAGCGGAGACAGGCAGCCAGGTGGGAGAGGCAGTGGCTGGCAGACTGGTTGGTTCCACATTTGCATGCGTATGAACCCGGGAGGAACAACAGGGGAGTGAGACAGACCACACAACCCAGGGTTCCAGTGCAGGAAAAGAAAGCCTCAAAACCTCTGTCTGTAAAAACATGTGGGGTGGCAGTAGCAGGAGAAACTCCCAGCTTCATGGGAGAGTTCATTGGAGAGACCCATGGGGTCCCAGAACGTACACAAACCCACACACCCAGGAATTAGCACCAGAAAGGCCCAATTTTCTTGTGGGTAGCAGAGGAAGTGACTGAAAGCCCACCAAAAGCCAAGAAAGTGGCATTGTTCCCTCTCAGATCCCTCCCCAACATACAGTTTTACAACGCAGCAATCTGGGTTGCTCTGCCCTGGAGAATACCTAAGTCTTCGTCTCTTCCAACATAGCAGGCACAGGGAGAAAAGAAATATGGCCCAAATGAAAGAACAGATCAAAGCTCCAAAAATAGAACCAAGCTATGAAGAGATAGCCAATCTATCATATGCACAGTTCTAAACACTGGTAATCAGGATGCTCACAGAAATGGTTGAGTATGGTCGCCAAATGGAGGAAAAAGTGAAGGCTCTGCAAGGTGAAAGAAAGAAAAATATACAGGGAACCAACAGTAAAGGGAAGGAAACCAGGACTCAAATCAACGATTTGGAGCAGAAGGAAGAGAAAAACATTCAACAGGAACACAGTGAAGAAACAAGAATTCAAAAAATGAGGAGAGGTTTAGGAACCTCTGGGACAACTTTAAATGAACCAACATCTGAATCATAGGGGTGCCAGAAGGAGAAGAGGAAGAACAAGATATTGAAAACTTATTTGAACAAATAATGGAGAACTTCCCCAAGCTGGTGAAGAAAATAGACTTCCAGGAGATCCAAGAAGCTCAGAGAGTCCTAAGGAAGTGGGACCCAAGGAAACACACACCAAGGCACATCATTAGTACATTATCCAAGATTAAAGATAAGGAGAGAATCTTAAAAGCAGCAAGAAAAAAGGAGACAGTTACTTACAAAGGAGTTCCCATATGACTGTCAGCTGATTTCTCAAAAGAAACCTTGCAGGCAAGAAGAGGATGAGCAAGAAGTATTCCAAGTCATGAAAGGCAAGGACCTACATCCAAGATTACTCTATCCAGCAAAGCTATCATTTAGAATGGAAGGGCAGATAAAGTGCTTCCCAGATAAAGTAAAGCTAAAGGAATTCATCATCACCAAGCCCTTATTATATGAAATGTTAAAGGGTCTTATGTAAGAAGAAGAAGATCAAAATGATGAACATTAAAATGACAACCAACTTACAATTATCAACAACTGAACCTAAAAACAAATTAAGAAAACAACTAGAACAGGAATAGAATCACAAAAATGGAGATCATTTGGAGGGTTATCAGCAGGCAGGGGGTGGGGGGAGAATGGGAGGAAAGATACAAGGAATAAGAAACATGATTGGTGGGCACAAAATAGACAGGGGGAGGTTAAGAATAGTATCAGAAATGGAGAGATCAAAGAACTTATATGTATGACCCATGGACATGAACTAAGGGGTCGGGGGGATGCTGGTGGGAGGAGGGTTTCAGGGCAGAGGGGAATGAAGGGGAGAAAAAACATGGGACAACTGTAGTAGCATAATCAATAAAAGATACTTAAAAGAAAAATAAATAAAAATTAAGAAAAAAGAAAACAAATACCAAAAAAATAAAAATAAATGGAACAGCAAGTCAAAGTTACTCTGTCTCTCTAAAATTAATCAATCAGTAAAGCATTGGTGTGAAAAAAGAAATATAATATTCTCATTACTAACTGCATATTGATTAAATGTTAAAATACTATTTTGGATATAGTAGGTTAAATAAAATAAATTATTAAAATTTCTTTTACCTGTATCACCTTTTATTAATTTAGAAAAATTTAAAAGTATTCATGGGGCTCATATTATCTTTCTAATGAGAGCTGGACTACTCTGTGACTCTGATATTTCCCCCTGCACAGGTGTGGCTGTAGGGATCTGTATGGGAACAACAGCCCTTTGCTGTGGCGCCCAAGTCAATATCCTATTCTTGGTTCATAATGAGAGCTGTGGCAGTTTATCTTATTTTTGGCTCTTTGTCTCTTTGCCTCATAGGCTGCAGCCCAATTTCTTTTCTCCTGTGGTCTCCCAACCTCCCGTGCTCAGGCAACCTTGTTTACAGCTCTGCCTCAGCAAGTCCTCGCAGAACTTTTTGCTGCCTCTTTGCCTCTGCTACTCTTTCCTGCCTAGTTTTCCCTCTTCCTTCCTAGGACTGGCATACAGCAAATTTTTCATGTTTCACTTTTACCCACTTTTCATAGATCTTTTTCCAGGGAAATGTGTTTGAGCCAGCAGCCTTCCTTTGTGGACAAATGGCAGCTTCCTAATGCCTCGTCACAGTCCATCCTGTTTCCCCATAGGATGACATGTGCAGATGTGTCTGTCACTTCCAGAACTGTATCTACTTTAAGAGTTAATAATGATGATGATAAAAACAACTGCTATTACCATTTATTGACTTTTATTACTGGCCAGGGTCTACGGTAGATTTCTGCATTTAATCCTTACCTCGACCCCACAAAAGTGTGTAGGTACTATGATCCCGTATTACAGATAGGCCCCAAAACATTATATACCTTGCTTACAGACCACCACTAGGAAATGGTGGACCTGGGATTTAAGTCTAGATCTGTCCCCAAAATCCTTGCCCTCACTCACTACATTTATACTCCCTCCCACAAGGTATGTCACCAAGCAATATCTATAAGCAAATTTGCTGAATGATAACAGTGCTATGCATTGCACAGTGTTTTGATGATTCTCCAGTTGACATTTGATACTCCTAAGACTCTGTTAAAGATAGAATTAAGGACTTTATGAGCCCTATTTCACACACTAGAAAAGCAGAGCATCAGAGAGATGAAGTGATTTGTTCATGGTTACTAAGTTAAGAAAGGATCCAACACCAGGTGAGAGCCTACGTTTTTAAAAAATATGTATTTATTATTCCTTTTTCCATTGTGCTGCCTGGACGGCAGAATATGGTGACAAACTTTTTGTTACAATTGCTGATTTAACCCTGAATTATGTAAGGAGTTTGCAGGTACAAACTCATTTGAGTTCCTCAGCTGTAGGAATGTCAGTTGTGCTCATTCATCAAGTATTGCCTGACCCCAAGTCTGGCCAGGCATTGTGTGGGAAGAAAAGGGCAGGTAAGCTATGACCTTGTCCTGAGGAGACCACCTTCAAATGGACACAAAATCACTTTGTAAAGAGAACATTACTATCCAATGGGAAAGAGGTATCTTAATGGAATATAGAAAGTTCTGAGAAGCACAAAGGAAGAAGGAAATAACTACCTGGGAAAGTTTCATGGTGGAGGTAACTTCTAAGCTCAGTCTCAATGGGCTAACATAGAAATGAAAAGCCTACATCACTTCATTCTCATTCTCATTCTATTTGCAGAATGAGAATTCTGCAAAAAACCTCATAATTTCATAACTTTATTAGGTTTCCTACAAATATTCTGTTGCCATAACTTCTTAGAGAGTAGTAGCAGAAATTATTTACTGGAATACTAAAAATATTAACATCAATACATCCCACAGTAGCTTCAAATGTACTCTGCCAGTTGAATAAAGGAATTTGAAATAATGGTTTTCAAGTTACCCAAACTTTCCAATTCTACAAAGCTGCTAAGAATTCTGCAAAACAAATAAGAAGCCCAGAATAATCATGTCAACTTTCTAAACATCAGTCATTTCAGACAGAAAAAGACTTATGGCTCTAGCATTTTGTGTCCTTTTATTTACTTAAAGAAGTATTTTTTTCACAGTGGATACTTAGAGCATTCTGCCCTTCTCTTCCAACCAAGCTTAAGAGTTTCATGTTGTAAGTGCCACTGAATTTTATCACTTGAATATTAAAAGCCCGGATGTATACTGTGACATGTTTGGACTATTTGGAGCTGGAAGGAAAAGAAAAGTTTAGAAATTGAAACTTACGGAGTCAGACCCTTGGGACACCCCAAGAAGAGACTGCCTTCTACTCTACTGTGGTCCACCAGGTCACTGATGATTGAGTTTTTCTGCTAGCTGATACCAGACTACACCTAGTAAAATGGACTGAATGTGTGTGTGTGCCCTTGAAATCCAGAAGTTGAACTCTTAACTCTTAACGTGATAGTAATAGGATGTGGGGCTCCTACCGGTAACTTGGCAGATAATTAGGTCATGGAAGGGGGGTGGCTCATGCATGAGAGTAGTGCCTTTATAAAAGGGACCCCAGAGAGCCAGCTGGCTCTCCTACTTTGATGTGAGGATGCAAAGAGAAGCCAGTAGTCTCTAACCAAAAGAGGGTTCTGGCCAGAATCTGACCATGCTAGCTTCCTAATCTTGGACTTTCCAGCCTCAAGAATTGTGAAAAATAAGTTCCTGTTATTTATAAGCCACCCAGTCTACAGTACTTTGTTGTAGCATCCAAATGGACTAAGACACCTGAAACCTAGATTATGTTGATCTTAGCTAGAAATTCCCAGTTGAGAAAGAAGATCCCATCATTTGACCTCTTCTCTGTTGTGCTTTAATTTAGGTGTTTGGTTTGTTTTCTGGGTTTGACAAGATATATTTATGCCCCATGCTCATAACCAAGATAGAACATTCCTTCTGATCCCTGACTCACAGCAGAAGGTCCAGATCTGGAAGGCTCAGAGAGCATCAGAACTGGGGTCAAATCTCGATATTCCTGGAGGAGTATCCTACCTTCAAGCAGTCTTTGAAGAACAGAACAAGGCGCAGGGTGTCCTAGAACAGCTCAGCAGCACTGAGGATTATTGGTGAATATCCATATTTTGTTGAGAATTCAAAATGAATTGCTTGACAGAAGTGTTCACAAATATAATAGGCTGCCTGTGGAGAAGGTACGCTCCTTCTCACTGTACTATCAATATTTAAGTGTAGCTTGGCTGGTCATGTAGTGGAGTCATGCATAATTCAAGGGTTGGACTAAAGACCTTAAGCACCCATCCAACTTCCAGATTCTATTATTTGCACGTCCTTGGTTTACCTTGCACATGCCTCATGCTTGCACTTACTGCATTGTTCTATAATGTTACGTCCAGATATGTGTCTCCCCCTGCAAGGCTGAAAACTCCTTGAAGGAGGGACAAATATTTATCCTTTTATATCCCAAGCATTAAGCACAGTGACTAGTATGTAGGAGACACTAAGTAAATATTTATCAAATGCATAAATAAATTCATTTTGTATATCTCTCTATGTTTATGTATATCTTGATTTATAGTGTAAGTTATCAGCACTTGCTTGCTGTGAGGTGTTCGTGGTTCCTTGCATACCTGAATGATGGCATGTGCCTTTCAATTCTCCAAATGTGCCACTCCTAGTTAATGAATTCCTTCTCTACAGAGGGAGCCATATCATGACAGTTGAGGCAGAGTCAAAGTATGGCCAGAATTTTTCTGCATTTGTCTTCCTAAAACAAGCCCCCCCTGTCAGAAATGACCCTGGGGGTGTTGGTTACAGGTTGAGGGGACACTCGGTTGCATTAGGTGGGCAGCTGTCTCCTGTGTATTTTCATCCCAAGCTTGGGGAGGGAGGCTGGCTTGTGAGGAGGCCCTAGCGGCATGCTGGGCAGAGGAACAGGTGAGCAATCTGAAGTGGGAGCATAGGTGGGAGAATCTCAGCAAGTTAGACTGGCTGAGAAGGTCAGAACGAGGACAGGAAGCAGAGGCAGGTAGGGTGCAGTTTTAGGTGGAGATATTTCCAAAGAAGCAGAGGAGGAGGGTGAGGTTGCAAAGAGAATACTTTCCAAATGAATGTGTTAAACCAATGTGTTCATATACTCATTTATACAACAAATATACATTGAGTGCTTACCTTGTGACAAGTACTGTATAAAGGCTAAGGATACAAATAAGTAGGATCTCTGCTCCCAAGTACATAAACTATGGACTAAACTCTAGAGACATATTCACAGACAATTGCAGTACAATTTGATACATGCTGTAATGGGGTAAGCACAGGGAAGTCTGAGGGAACACGTGACCAAATCTGAGAGGAGAAGTGAATGGTAAGTTGCAGTTAGCACTGTGAGGCAGGAAGAACAATCTTGCCAATGCCCCAGAAATTGCTGAATATACAAAAGACAAAACAGGGGAACTTATTCAGGGATTGCAAATACTTTGCTATCATTGGACTTTAGATGTCTTGTTTAGTGGTCCAGACTGTCTCCTGGGAATGATGAGTCATTGGAGTATTTTAATTGAGAAGTGATGTGATCATATTTGTGCTTTAAAAATATTACTAGAACAAAGTGTGGAGAATGAATGGGAAGAAAAGGAGACCAGAGCCCACTGAAGTCTTTGTAGGCTCTCAGTGAGAGGTGATGGGGGCTGAACTAAGGCTGAGGCTGTGAAAACAGAGAGAAGCAGATGCATTCTTGAGACATTTGAAAGTTAGAACAGATAACGCTTGGTAATTGATTGGATGTGGGTTGTAATCAAGCAAACAAGAACGGCCAGTTTCTGGCTCAGGCAGCTGGGTGGATGGCCTGCCCTAGAGGCGGCTCTGAAAAAGAGAGGAAGATGCTTTAGTTTAAGGAGAGTTTTGGTCGTTGCAGAGCCAAAGAGCTAAACTTCCTTAAGTTCAATGACCCAGTTGGGTTCACATCACTCTCTCAAGGTAGACAGGACTCTTTTGGTAACTTAATGGTATCTAATGTCTGACCAAGGTCCTTATCCACTGGTTATTATCATTGATTCATCCAATCAACCAATATTCATTAAATATCAATTACATATTCATAATATTCCAGTATTCCATAGATCCCAGTGTCCAACTATGCAGGTATTTTAGTTCCTCTCACTCCCTCTTTGTTCTGCACCCCCCATCCTTTCTGCTCTTTATTTTATTTTTCAGCTTTATTGAGGTATATTTGAAAAATAACATTTTAGGATATTTAAAGTATACATCATAATGATCGATGTATGTCTACACTGTGAGATGATTCCTCCCATCTACTTAACACATCCATCACCTCACTTATTTTTTTTTGTAAAAATATTTAAGTTCAACTCTTTTAACAAATTTCAGTTATACAATACAATGTAGTCGACTCTAGCCACCACGTTATACACTAGCTCCTCAGAATGCATTTCTTTTAAAGCCAAATGTTTGTACACTTTTACCACCCTCTCCCTATTTCCCTTACCTTCCTACCTCTGGTAACCACTTTTCTACTGTCTGTTTCTATGAGTTTTATTTTTTCTCTTTAGAGTCCACCTATAGGCGGTAGCATGGAGTGTTTATCTTTTTCTGTCTGGCTTATGTCACTCGGTGGAATGCCCTCCAGGTCCATTTATGTCATCCCAAACAGCAGGACCTCCTTCTTTCTCATGGCTGAACCATACCCCATTGCCCCTGTGTATGTCCGTTTGTAAATATAACATCTTAGCCACTCATCTGTTAACAAGAAACTTAGGTTGTTTCTGTATCTTGGCTACTGGGAATAACGCTGCAATGAACACGAGAGTACAGACACCTCTCCGAAAAAATGCTTCTCAAAGTCAGAATTACATCTGTACATTTTCAATAGGCTTTTCCACTCATGCCACCCCATCTTATCGTACATGCTGTTGTTTGAGCTGCTATGTGCTGCTTCAGAGTAAAGTATTTCCTCACTTCTTATTCCCATGGTTGCTTTAATTTTTTTCTCTTTAGTTTCTTCTTTCTAGACTTAGTCATTTATAGAGTTTTGACTTTAAAAATCTAAACACATTATAGAAAACCCCAGACAACTTGTTTTATATTGGTTAGAGGCCTGGAGAATATTTTCTAGGCTCCAGAGTTTCATGAGCAACTCTGAGGCTTCCTGCGACTGAAGTGATTGATGGTGCTAGAGTTTCAGTAACAGATGCCATTGATCAAAGTCTTCCTGGAAATACTTGTGTTTGCTGCAATTTCATTTCACATTTTGCGCTTGGCTTTCCCAAGCAGAGGTGTGAAATTCAGGCATCAGAGAAATCAGCAGGGTTTGCGGGTTGAAGTTAATGGAACACTCAACGTGAACCTGTGTAGTTCAGGTTAATAAAACAAAATAAAATGTGTGGATGTGAGAGTCTAACCTCACACAGCCACGAGGTAGCATCTTGCAAAAGTTTCCTGGGGCTACTGGGTGCCTAGGCCCCTGGACCAAGAAGGATGGAAAATCTACTGTGAAAACTACTCTCCACATCATCAGTAAAGCTCTGTTTTTGTCAAACAAAGCTCCTAAAATTTCACTTCTCAAGGATACTGAAGGGATTAATGAAATGGTTTTGAGTGGCCGGTCTATTGTAAACAAATGTTGTTTTTTAAGGATGTAGTATTTTTGTTCATGTTATTTCATAGTTGATGACTATGCAAGATGTTAACAGTTAGTTCGTTTGGTTAAATGATGACACCAGTGTGATCACGGCCCGAGACTGGATTTCTGTTCTAGACGTGTTTCCACTTTCACACAGAGGACATGTTGTCTTCCATTGGCAGACCACCTCTAGCCTGAATCAGCCACCTCTTAACTACTGAGTAGTTTGCTAATAGAAAAATAATGCATATTTCTTGATGCAGGTGGAGAAGTTGCCTTCGTATATAGAAACTTTATTATAGGCTGCAAGTCTTGACAGACTAAACAGGTCTTTGACAACATCTAGTCCTAATTTCTTCATTTGAAGTTGAGGAAATTAAGTCTAGAGCTAAGTGGTTTGCCCATAGTCACCCAGTTCATGCCAGAGTCAGGACTAACATCTGGATTTATTAAAAAGTCCAATGTTTTCACCGTGGTACTGTGCCATATCCATCCTGATCTAGGATCCCCTTTTAAAACTTTGGGCATTTGGATTGAACACAAATCCCTAGTGAGCCAGTACTCAATAAAGTGCAGTACAATTTTCGGTGCCTCCTGATATTATACTAGAGACTTCTGGTTGTTTGTTGCAATTCCCAAGAGTGCTACACATCTCTAGGCAGATGGCCAAAAAGCAACACATTAAACTACCAGGTCTGCCGTTGAGCGGCTGTGCAAGAGTCTGCAGGGCAACTTTGAACAACATTCTGGAGACCAAGTCAAGCCAGGTACTCTGATTACAACAAATGATAATGGCTGCCCATCGTAATTAGGCCAACAGGTTTTCTGCCATGTGGATGTTCCACTTGCTGCGTTCGCTGATTAGGTCAATCAGTCATGTTCAATTATTCAGCCATGTCCATTTAATGACCTGCTACCTGCAGAGCATTATGAAGATCTCTTTGTAATATGGGCAGAAATTTGGCCATGAGCTATAATCTTCCCAAATGCAGTTTATAAGTAGACATTCCCCAGGCTGGACTTCTTGGGGGCAGCCAGTGGGGTGTCATTTTTAGGAGAGCCAAGGGCCCTCGTGACCCATGACTTTTTATCATAGTTTTTGAGAGGAAATGCAAAATTAGTCTCTATGGTCCTTTTTGGCCCTGAAATGTTTCCTTAAAATAATATTTATTATAGATGTTTTTAGACTATTAAAAAATGTGTGTTTTTGTGGAAAATGCAGAAAATTACAAAGACAATAAAAAGCACTCATATTTCCAGTACAATGGCAGCTACTCCCAACTTTATCAAATTTTTTCCAGTCTGTTTCCCAGGTATCTGTAATATATACCTATTTATTTTTATGAAATTGATACCCTACTGTATCTGATCCTGAAATTCTAAAAGTACAAAATATGCAGAACTAAACAGTATGTTCCTTGCTCAAAGCCTGGCTTGTAATAGCTGCTCAGTTAATAATAAACGGTTAACTGATGGAGAGAAACCATGGTTTCCAGATTTGAGCAGCATCACTGGAAGATCTCACACTCAGGCCATGCCCAAACCTTGACAAAGATGTTTGCATGTTAAAGAAACATAATAAACTAGAAACTGACTACTTTCCTTCAAGAAAGCCTCCCCTTCGCAAGAGAACATCAGTAGTAATTCATCTCCATTTTTTTGTGCTCATTATTTGTTTTAGGAGATTTCATTTGATGTGAGAACCACACGTACAAGAGGCTTGCTGGAAACATGGACCTCAGTGAAACGTGGCCTTTGGAGGAAGGAACCTGGTTGTCTCATGCTGGAATTCATCATTTTGCCACCACCAGAGCGGGTATGGTTGCTTTTGCTCTCCCTAATACATATGGTACCCTTCAACTCCTGCCCTCATTGTGTCAACCCAGCTGTGCTCAGTAGGTGCCTAGTGCTATTTGTCATGTCAAAAAGGGCCAGTAGAGAGGAGAGGGCCTGGACTTTGGAGTCAGGCAGACCTGAGTTCAGATCCTAAATATTCTACTTACAAGCTATGTGGCCTTGAGAAAAATCTATTGTGTCCTCAGCTCAAACATGAGAGTAAGAGTACCTACTTTGTAGGGTTGTGATAAGGACCATGAGTAATGTAAGCTGTCATCTACTGAGACCTAGCCAGGTGGGAAGTTAGTCACATATCTTTGAGCTCCTAATATGTGTCAGATATTGTGTTTCTACTCATCTCTTCTTCCCTCCACTCCTCTCCTCTCCTCTCTTTTCTCCTCCCCAGCCCTGCATGGATTAAGGTTGAGGATAATGTAACCAGTACAAATGGAATAGGTCAGCTCACCTTCCCTTCTCATTTTTTGTCCTAGCATCAGATTAATGCAATTTAACATTAAATGATGGGGATGATGTTACTGTCCTGGAGTGGAGCATAAGTGTGAAAACCATAACCCTGACACAGAGCTGTGGTCCTCTGTCAGGTCTAAGCGTTCAACTTTCCCCTCCTTTCCCTGCCGCCCCCTCACCCCAACATCTCAGATTAATGGAAATCTACTTTGGTGGTAGGAGCCAGTCTATGGGTGAGGATGGTGAAGTCCACTGAAATTAACACATTCGCATGATGTTTTTAGTAAGAATATGCTTCCCATTTGTTTGTTTATTCATTTGCTCAATAATATTGAGGATCTACCACATGCTAAGTACTGGGAGTACAAGAGAGAGGGTCAGGTGGACATGGAGATCACCAGCTTACTCTTTCTGTTGTGCCTCATTTCTAAAATAGGCTAATTTATAGAGTAACGAGCACTTACTAAGCTTCTGCACTGCACCTGTGTACATCTTTCAACCAAGACGATTGCACACGATGGGTGATTCCCTAAAGGTAGGTTGATACTCTGTGAGAGGAAGCTTGGGTGCAGTCCAGCCAAAAACCAACAGCTGTTCACTCCTGTGCTCTGTCATACTGCCATCCAGCCATTATTTTTGGAGGTTCTTAAGCCAGTATCTCGGATCAGCTCATGGAAGAAAGTTGAACCTCCTCGGCTCAAACGCACAGCCCGTCTTGATCTGACCTCTGCCAACCTCACTAGACTCACCTCCTCTTGCTCATCACTAAAAACAAATCCTTTTCTCAACATAGTATCGACCTACCTATGGATTCTTAAGTATTTCAAGCTCTCACACACCTGTGAGCCTTTGCAAAGGCAACCATTATTGTTTGCCTTCTTTTTGACCAGCTCCTACTCCTCTTTGAAGCTTCAGCTTAAGTTATCTATTCTGGGACATCTTCCTGCTGCTGCCACCTACCCACTCCACCTGGGTCTGAATAAGGCCCACAGAACTTGCAGATTCCTGTGTCACAGTGCTTACCACACTGTATTATGATTGTCTATATTCTAGACAGCATGTGAGCTTCTTGGGACAGATGTCTGGTTTTATTCTCCTTCACAAGTAGCCTGTCAAATACGTGAGGTATATTTGATGACTAGTGGCTTGATAAATGAATAAATGGATGAATGGATGAATTAGTGGTAGGGGCACATCCTCTGCATACCTCTGCTATCACTGAGAGCCTTTTTTCGCTGTGGCAACACCAATGGTTGCACAACCACTCTGGCACACCCGCTTTGGCACCATCGCCTCCCTTCGCCTTACTTTCAGCACGCTATAGCACTTCATTCAGCGACCGTGGGCTTGTTCACCAAAGCTGGAAAGCAGAGGAGAGAGAGGAAGTAGGTGTGGTTTGTCGGCCAGTGCTTTTGTAAGCTAGTAGTAGAACCATCCATCATAGAATTTTAGAACCAAAAGGAGCCTTAGGGATCAGTAGGACAAAGGATGGCTAGAAACTGCTTCTTGTAACTAGGTCCAAGCACTGCCAGGTCCCTCCATGAGCTCACCATGTCATGTATCTACAATCTTCGGGTATGGCTGGCTCATAAGAAGGGGAACCAGGCCTGTGCCTAGATCTGCCTAATGGCAAGGCACTGCTGTGAGGTAAGCAATGAGTTTCTTGGGCTGATGGAAGAGCTTAGCTCTTGTGGGCAACAGATACCAGGATATCTGGCCTGTGTTGGGACAATCAGTCTGTGATGATCGAGGTGTCCAAGGATGACTAGGTAGTATTGTCATATGTGGGTGAAGCACTGTAACAAGGAATCGATGTGGATAAAGTTTGAAAATCCTTGTGGGCATGAGTATTTCTCAAAGGCAAGGGGTGGGGTTCAGGGAAAGGGCTCAGAGGTAGAGTGCCCAAATGGGAACCTGGTGAAAAGCTGAAGTGGAATAAGGAAATCCACACTCAGAAACAAAGGGAAAGCCTCACTGTGCCAGAGCTGTCAGAATTGGACAAGTTAAAAAAAATTGTAATAATTTATTGGGTAGATACATTATACCAGACATTATACTAAGCCTCTTTTTTTTTGTATAGATATAGACAACCTCAACTCATTCTCACAACTTTATTTTCATTTGATGAATGAAGAAATTGAACCAGAGAAGGCTGAGAAATTTGTGCAAGGCCATTCAGCTGGTAAACAAACTGCAGAGTGGGGACTTAAACCTGGATCTGCCTAATCCCAAGTCATCATAGGCTGTTGCCCCTCAATTCAGCCTCTAATACTCCCTTGCACTGCCTTCTCAGTTTCTGGCTCTGGTGGTCCAGTTATAGATTTTTATTACTGGTTATTTTATTGTCATAGTAGAGAAGGGAACTAGCTCTGAGCAGGGTTGGAAGATAAATGTGCAGTGGCAATTTTCATCCAAGACTCTCCTAGGCCACCTCAGCTAATGCATTGCCAAGACCTTGACCTTCCTGCTTCAGAGCATCTTTCCTCCAGGCCCACATTCCTGCCCCATCTCTCCCACCACTGGCTTGTACCAGCTCCTCCATCTTTGAAGCCCAATGTGGGCTAATGGACTTGATATTTCTAGTGAAGTTTCAGGGAAAGTCCTGGAAGTGTCTAGGCATTGGGTTTTTTTCTTGGCTTCATAGAGTCCTCCGAGAATGATGTTGTCTGCCAGGGAGGCTCAGTTATCCTGGTGAGTCACAAGCCTTGAGCTGGACTGAATCCCTGCAACGTCTGCTTTTGTATTGTCCTCAGAGCATCTTAGGCTGCCACGAAGGTGGGACAGCCTCCAGGAAACTACCTGGGGAGAGTCCAGGAGGTCTGGGGGTGATAGGAAGTTTCTGGAGGAAAGTCCCTCTGCCACACCTGCTTCCTGTATTCCTAAAAATACCCTCAAGGGCTTGGGCCAGTGGTTTTGCAGACTTATTTTAAAGGTCTGGAAGACATTTTCCAAATGAAATTATATGCAGTGCCTGACAAAACAGAAGGGGGCCCGTGCTGGGCCAGAGCCCTGTTTCTCATTGTCACATCACAAGCTGGTGTGGCTGCTTCTTCGATTTGCCAGCTACTGCATCCTAAGTGTGGGGATTGGTGCAGATGGGGAGGCCTCGGCAGCCCTTCTCGGTGAATCTGTAAAGCGCTCTTCCTGTTGGAGATGTGCTCACTCAGCTGTTTGGGATTTCTGCTGTCATCCACTCTTCCCAGGGGACTCTACCTGCCTAAGCTCCTCATTAGGGGAGAGGCAGGAAATCTGGGAAACATAACCTGGCAGTAGGGGCCAGGTGCATCTGGAAAGTCAGTGGTGCTGTTCCCATTATGGCAATAAAACCAGGATGTAGCAGATTTCCCTTCTGGTGCCTCTCAAGGTCAGGGAGAGCTTTAACACATCAGGAAGGAAGGAAGGAACTTTTTCTAACAGTAATCTGTGTGCCAAGCACTGCCATGGATGTTATTTCATGTTATTCAAATCCTCATTGAAATCTTGTCAAGCAGTTATTGTCTCCAGTTGGCAGATGAGGGAACTGAGTCTTCGGATATGGCAAAATAACCAGTTCAGGCTTATCCAGCAAAGGCCAGCAGAGCTCACAAACTCAGGTCTTCATACCCCAGAGCTATGCTCTCTCCATTTCAGTTCTCTGTCAGTTTCAAAGAGCAACATTATTTGGCATCTCCACCTTTCTGTGATGTTCGATCCTTTTTGTCTAATTCTTTTGCATAAGGTATGGTAAGAGGACTAATACAGTGGAATCTGTTACCTACGATCTCCAACTGGCATTTGTTTTAAACACGTTTAGTAGAGGTCTGTTCATTTTACAGAGCAGATCACAGTCCTGGCAGGTTTGCAGGCTTATTGAAGAATAGTGGCAGAACCGGGCGGGAACCCAGGCCCCTGCTTCTCCCTCCAGCACCTGTACTATGCTGGCTGCTAAGACCTTAGCTTCTTGGAAAAGCCATTTTAATGTGAAAGAAGAGAGGCTCCCGTGCAGCCAAGAAGACTCTATTTGCAGTCCCCAAAAGGAGAGATTCCCTGCCAGGCCTCTGTCCAGAATCATGGAGTGAACAATGTGAGATCAGGGTGGTCTCTGCATCTCCACCGAAACTCGCATTCATCCTATGGATTTCCTTTTTATAATGGCTTAGCCATAGATTTCAATTGCTGCAAATGCTTTTTTCACTTAATCTTAACAGAGGTTATTTTGTTCAATTTCACTCAGTAGATCTGCGTGTGAGTTGGAAGTGTATGATTTTCCTCTGCAGGGACCTTTTTCTGTGTGTATTTTTGGAATGGTTCTTCATTCTGATTCATGTCCACGTACACCTTCCGGAAGCTTCTTGGCTCAGCCAGAGTTTATTTCCTTTGATATGATGTTGAGTGAGGACTCTTTTAAATCTTCAACTCTATTCCATAGTTGGTAACAGGAATCCTGAAGGGCTGGATAGATTCAATTTGTTTATATACTTCATGAAACACCTTGCTTTTGTTAATAGCATCTGTTGCATTGGTATTTGGATTTTTCAGAAAACATATTTAGCAATTTTACCAAAATGAGTTTTTGTATTCCTGTCAGACTTAATATCAAGTCATCACTTGGCCTGTTTTATTTCTGCTAAAGAGAATGATTATTTTTTCAGGTGAGATATAGTTACCTGTTCTTCCTATAGAGCCTATTTCTATCTTCTGGTAGTTATCAAGCACTTAAAGAAGTTATCTGAAGCTTGATTTTTCTTTAAGGGAAATCAAGCAACTATGTTTTTTGTCCCTTTCATCAAGTATTATAAAAATGTGGGGTTGTGCTAAAAGAAAAGACTATTAAATCCCAAAAGAAGGAGAAATGTCCTTTTGGCCAATTTAGCCCTGGAGCTAATGCTGTGACCAATTAAGCACAGATTTCCTTTGGATGAAACATTATGGGTAGACATACACTTGCCCTTGGTGTCCTCTGTTGCCTTGTCCTAAGAGGACGCAGATAGGAGACAGGGTAACAGGAGGGAGTTGGGCTGTGCTCAGGCAGCCATGGCCCTCTCTTCCCTCCTACACCGCGCCTGCCCACACTCCCCTGGAGAGGAAGGGGAGGATTGCTTCTCCACTTGTTCCGCTGTTAACTAGTGAGGACCTTCAGGAGACAGGAGGCTTCCTGCAGAGAAGATGAGCCAAGGGCAATGCCAAGGAGGAGAGGAAGGCAGAGGGAGGGCTCAGCCTACTTCTTGCAGTCTTTCATGCCTGAAATTGGTGACCTTCCAGTGACTGGGTTGGGAAGGTTGTGTATAGATCCTAGTGGCCTCTGGCTACCATTCTAACTTGTTGCTATGGCTCTTGTAAAGGGTATTGATGATATATCTTGGCTGAAAAAAAAAAAACCCTTCTCTCCATGTGGTATATATACCTTCACCATCTCTTGGAGGAGAAAACCGATCTGTATGAGACTCATCGCCTCCTCTTTTCTACTGACGAAGGAGCTGTGTAGCCCCTGAGGACCTATGAGTCACAGCAGTTCAGAAAGGCCACAGCAACAAGGGCCTTCTCTGTGGTCTTTCCTCCAAACAGAGCCTGTAGTTAGGCAGGCCTGGGAACAATGGCCCTCCCAGACTCCTGGGGGTCAGGGTCCTGGCCTGCAGTGCAGTCCCCGCCCACTGAGCGGGATATTGGTGATGGGCCTTGTGCTAAGAAGGCCTCCTCTACCTCAAAGGACATTTAGGGTGGTCCCTCGTCTTTACGAATAAAACAAAAAAATTCCTTTGATCCTAGAATTATATCCAATATTGCTATATGACCTTACTTCATTTGCTGAAGAATGAAGGTTCTGATTGAGTTTTCCAGAGAACTGAAACATAACCTTTTAAATACTTAAATTTTCCCCCAAATTTTACTGTTTTCTCATAGTTGGTAAGACTTTAGTTCTATGGTGTTTTGTACACTTTCTTGCCTTATAAAAAGAAAGTGGTCACACCCCAGCTTATGATTGACATTGGACCAATTTTTCATTTAGAAATGTATTATCTGATTTAGGATCTATAATATGATGTCCAACTTCTAAAAAAATCATATACACATTTGCATACGCCTAAGAAAACTGTAGCAGGACACGTAAGAAGCTGTGGACAGTGCCTCATTTTGGGGATGGAGACTGGGATAGGAGGAGAAAGAGAACTTTTCATTTTTCAGTTTATAACCATCTGTACTCAATATTTTTTCCTTTACCTTGAACATATATAAAGAAAATAAGTTAAGAATTATATATTATTATAGATTATAACCTGTATATAATTGTATGTATTATATATATGAATATTAAAGTTAGGGATTGGGTTCCTAGGCTAACTCCCAGAAACCAGTTCAACTTGTGATATAGCAGAGCAATCCTAAGAGCAGACATTAGACATCAGCCCCCTGTGTTAACTGTTTCTATGGGAAACCTGAGTCTCAGGAATATTTCCCTCTTGCTACTTTCTCTCCACATATCCTACTTTCTTATAACTACTGCTCTAGAAATAAGAGGAGGGACTTTCTTTCTGTCTGCAGGGGCCATGGCAGCAGGAGGCTCACTTTTCTCCTAAGACAGTCAAAAGAAGGACTCAAGCCTACCATGTGAGAGAGAAAGGAACATTTATTGAGCATCCACCATGTGCCAGGCACTGTGCTTGCTCTGTCTCATACTTTATCTGTGTTGCTTCTCCTGACCATCCAATGAGATAAGTATTATTGTTGGGAAACTGAGGTTGCCCCTTAGAAACTGACAGGGCAGGGGTTATAACCTATCAGCCTATGCACTGTCCTTTATAATTCAGTGACCCTCCAGCAGAACCATTTCTTTATAAGAGGCCTATTAAAGGGAAGTATGGCTAGGCACTTGGGATATTTCCTGAGGTTCAGTAAGGTCCTCTGTCATGGACTCCCTTAGTAGAAGGTGAGCAAGTTGAGGGCAGAACCCTGTTCTAATCACCTTTGTATCTGCAGTGCCTACCACAGTCTTAGAATCACGGTAAATTCCACATAAATGTTTGTTTTGATTAACAGGAAGTATTATTTTTATCTTTGCTTCCTCAAATAGAAAATTGGAATCATATATTTTACAAAAATTTTCAAGAGCAAATACTAAAATGAGAAAAATATTTTCTCATTAACTTTTGGTTGATTAGAAAATTCAAATAACTGAAGTGCTATAGGGAAAGTTCTTAGTTTATGAGTCATCCATTTATAGGAGGAACAAAGGGGAGTCCACTGTGAGTCAGAACAGTCAGGTAGGCTCCAGAACCTGATCGCCTGGTGGAACATTTTGTAAGGCTCTTCCTACAGGGAATACCTGTTGCCAGCTCCATATAACCAACTTTCAAGCCAACTCTTAGAGTCAGGGACAATATAATATTGCCCTTAATCTGAAGCATACTCTGTGGTTAGTGACTACTTTCAGTGACTCAAAGCTGTTAAAGGAAAGAAAAAAAAACCCAGTCTCTCAGCTGCAAAAAGAATATGCCATTCAATAATAATTAACATTTACATGATCTTCACAATGTGACAGTCTATCTTCTGAGACTTTTATGTGGATTAGTTTTATTGCACTCTGACCACAACCTTCTGAGTTAGGTATGATTATTTTCTCCATTTTTATAGAAAACTGGGTCTGGCAGAAATTAAATGACTAGCTAATAGTGGAGCTGGTATTAGAACCAAGGCCTGGTTGACCCCAAAGCCCTCTGCAGAACACAAAGGCTGGTTGCCTCTCAATATGTTGGGGAAATAAAGGAGACTGACCCTGCAGGAAGTCCCCCTGAGCCCATCCACTGATGGGATCACAGGGCCAAAAGATGCTATTAACACCAAGAACTGACGATTGGAATTGGCAATGGCAAGGCCAATCTTAACCTTGACAAGAGCTACATTAGATGAATGGTGAGCTAGAAGCATGTGTGTCTAAGAGCAAAAGGAAGAAGTAGATGAAATGAGCGTAGGCAATTCTTTCAATGAATTTTGTTGTAAAGGGAAGCTGAGAATTGCGAATGGGAGTTAGAAAGAGAGGTAAAGTCCAAGAAATAATTTTCTTAAAAGACAGAAACATAGTAGTATGTCTGTATATTGATGGGGATGACCTAGAACAGAAGAAAACATTATTTTAGGTTGGAAAGGGGAAAAGTCCCATGAGGAGACACAGGATTTGATCCACAGTGGAGGACCTGGTCTTTGATGGTTCATCCACAGTAACAGGAGGGCAGGAGAGTAAGTAAACCAGACCAGTGTTGAGTGATTGCTGGGCTACACTATGGCCCACTTGAGATTAACGGGCACAAGTTGAAAATAAGCCCAGGAAACATGCTGGTATGCTTCTCCAATTATAGTTTTCTGGGTACTGGCAGAAAGAAAGTGAAGAATTAGACTTTATCGGGGTTATGGTTTTTCCAAGGAAGTAATATGCAGAGACAGGAACATGGATTTGAGTATGTATATAAGTAGAAATGATAATAATGAACGAGGAAACTAAGGTAGGTACGGGAGGAAGGAAGGTCACAAGGAGAGTAAGGAACAGAGAAAAGGTCATGGTAAAAGTAAATTTTAGAAGCTGTCAGAGTCAAGGAAACATTGAATTAAGAAAATAGAGAATAAGCTGGAAAATTAGGAAGTGGTGGTTGGAGAGTGGAATGCCTGACATTGAGATTGTTGGATGGTGCCACTGTAAGAACGAAGAGCTGAGACACATGGAGGCCAAGGAAGGAAGAGGATGTGGAAGAGCCGAGAGACAGGGTGAAAGAAGACCCATTAGGTAGGCTTGGAAATAAGGATATTCATGGGAATTGTATTGGGGAAATTGATAGTGAGCAGGATCCTAATATCTTCAAGGAATGAGGTAGAATAACCCACGGGTTTGTAGTTGGCTGCAAGGTTAATGCTATTTTCCTCAGTGATTTGTTGTTTGCAAGGAGAGCCAGTGTTTGATCAGAGTGAGAAATTGAAAGAAACATTCAGAGAAGAGGCTGACGATATTGAGAATTTCGCTGGTGATGAACCTCTGGGGGCAAATTCTAGGAGGTGGGAGGGGAAAGAGTGATGTATGCAAAATTCACTCAAACATATTCACTTCTTGGATTTGGGAGCTCAGATTGTCAAGAGTGGGGGGGGGGGGGAAGAAAATAGAGAGATAGGCTAGGCAGCTCAAGAATGACCGGTTCCCAATGAGCAATGCTGGCTAAAGCAGCTTCTTTCCGCCCTCCAAGGTAATTCGTGAACCAAAAGCCAACCATGGAAAAGCCAGAAATGGTTGAGTGTTTGCAGAATGAGAGCACATTGGCACAGGTCTGGGGGACCTCAGGCTGCAGCAGTTGGTGATCTGATCGCTTTGAGATCATAGAAGGATCCCAACAGTTTGCCCAGGCTGCTGACTCCAACTGTCAGTCTCCAATGACAAGGACAGGGGAAACCATTTTCCATGTTTGCTTCTACCTTTCTCTCAACTCCTTCTGCATCAGTGAGGGCTCTGGAACCCATCCCAAAGCCCAGGGACCTCCCAGGCAGGGCAGTCAGTTAGCGCGGGGGGGGGGGGGGGGGGGGACGCGGAATACATAACGCAACATCTCCAGGTATTCAAGTCACTGACCGAGAGAGGGAGAGTCCCACAATCGGGCATGCATTACTTCAGCGCCTATAATTCCAATTTGCAAACCATAACTTCTGTTTCTATATTATGTATTTGAAAGAGCCCAACTCTTTATGTAGGAGAAGGAACACTGTTCTGCTCCCCTCAGACAGACAGACAGACCCCATCCATAAATTACTTAACTTTTGAGGTTCAATTTCCCTGCCTGTGAAATGGAGTCATTACTTTCCGAGCTTGAACCAGGTGGTTTCTTAAGGAGAAGAAATATTGTTTGGATTCAATTTAGAATTCAGGTATATGAAGAAGGAGGGGTTGGGGGCATTTGAAGCTCCGCCTCCGTTGCTGTAAGACAAATTCACGCTCTAAAAATCCTGCATCTCCCCATGAGTAGCACAGAGCAAACAATTTCCCAAACATCGGAGTAGGGCAGATGCAATGCAAAAGAGCGGGAATCATTTTAGAACATATTATCGTCTGATTTTTAATAAATGGTCAAAGGGGGTGGAGTGAGGGTGAGAGAGGACACCCTCCAAGCCGGAGTGGAGAGGAAGCTGGCGCGTCGCGCCTGAGCGTGACGGCCGCTGTCGCCTAGCAACGGGCGGCGGGGATGCGCGCGGGGCACCCGGCCGGGTGGGCGCAGGGAGCTCGCCGCCTTCGCCTCCGCCGCCTCCACCGCGCGCCCTCGGGCCTCCGGGACCTGCTAGGAAACTTTGGGGCTCCTGAGCTCTGGGGCGTTGACGCGAGGCCCGGAAGATGCCTCCATGGGGCTCGCAGGCTGAGGACAGAGAATGATGTCGCGGGCCGAGCGCTCAGCCCGGGAAGCCGCGGGGTCGCACCCGCGGAAAGTTGGCGCACGGCTGCCCGCGCCTAGAGACGCTCGGTCCTCAGGAGTTTCTTTAGCAATTTCTTACCCCCGTGGATCGGGCATCCTGAACCCCGCATGGCCCCGGACTCTCGGATTCCTGAACCGCGCTTTTCTTAGGGACTTGCGAGGTAACTGATGCTTAATTGACTCGCCCTGAATGGTTGCGGTTCTATTTTTGTTTTGTTTTTCTTCTTCCTCCAGACAATGAATTTGTGGAAGCCTCTCCCGCGCCCTACAATCCGGAAGAGTTAGGTAAGTCTGCCCCTTTGCCTTTCTTCTCGAATTCCTCTCGAAAATCGCGAGTTCGGGGGGGCGCCGAGACTAAATCAGTGGGAGGGGCAGAGGGAAAGGGCCAGGGGACACTTCACGGGCTGCTCGTTTCCTTCGAGGTGAGAATTGGCTTCCTCTCCGCGCACGTGGTCTGGGGGAGCGGGGATAGCGTCCTAATGCCGTGGAGAGCAGAGGGCCGGGGGCCAGGTCAGCGCGCTGCTCCGAGGAGCGCGGCGCGGCCAGCTTCCCACCTGGGGCCTCTGTAAGTATTCCGGCTCGCGCTGTCTGGAAGGACGCCACGGCGGCTAGTTTTGTCTATCCACGTACCTGGCACGAAGAGGATACCGGGTGGGTAGTCCTCAGCCTGAGTCCAATGAAGTCGAGGACCAGAAACGGAGATCCAGTAATTAAATTCCAGGACCTGGGAGCTGGCTCCCTCCCTGGTTTCTATTCCTCATTGAGCCTGTAGGTGTCTGGAAATAGGGCATTTCATCTTCCTATGGCTCTCCTTATAAGTGGAGGCTTGGGGCGGGTGAATTGCGACACTTGTCAAAGACTTCCTTAGATGAAGAGACAGAGATTTGCATTGTCAGGATCCCTCTTAAGCATTTCTGCCACCCAGTCTCACTTGGTGACTTAATGGTTGTGTCCATTTCTTTCTTCTTTTTCTCCTTCTCTTCTTCTTCATCCTCCTTTTCTTTCTTTCTCACTCCCGTTTCGTTTAGCTTCTAACAATCTGGGCTATCAAGTCTGTCCTTGCTGTTTTCTCACCACCCGCTTAAAAATCTGTCCTTCCTACCATGAGTGCAAGCTGTTTAACAATGTTTGTCCACAGTACCCTTCTTAGCCTTGGGCACTTGTTTCTGGTCAGCCTCTTATCCTGGGATGTAAGTTCTCATCAAGTCTCACACCACCTGAAGTAAAATTCCATCTCAGCAAAGACTTTCATTGATTTCTAGGACAGAGGCACCCTAGGACCAAGGTCTGGAGCAAGGATAGCATTCTGAGGCAGAGAAGAGTACCTTGTTTTATTCAGAAGTGTGTCTGACAAGTTGTGAGGCAATCACATCTCTGTAAATGGAATCATAAATTAAATGCGTAAGCCAAACTAGCTCTAAAAGACACACTATGTTGAATCCTTTTATGAAATGAAAATGGCATCTAAACTATAGCTTTGCATGAAGTGATTTAAGCAAGCAAACTCTTAGTCATCTGCTCACGCATGTATAATTGTGTATTAACAACACCAGTATTGGCACTCCACAGTGTGACAGAAGCTATTTGGTCCTTTTAAATTATAGCTAAGCATAAGCAGCAGCAGGATGCACATTCCTTGCTCTGAGAAACTGCCTATCTAACTGTTAAATCGTTTGCATTCACAGAACGATTTATGTAATGTACCAGAAGGTCTCAGGTGTTTAACCCTTTTCCATCCCCATCTCCTTCTTTGGGACTGACAAGCTTGCCCAGCTGAGTCACTGATAAATAGGGGGAGCCCTTCAAATTAGCAGCAGAGAATAAGAAAACAACCTTTTTTTCTCTACAGCTTCCCTGTTGGGAAAGTGCAGTGTCTCATGAGGAAATGAGAGTGTTATAGGAACCATGGGGATAGGGAATATAAACCACAAGTCTGAGAGTCTGAGACCAGGGTTCTAGCCCTCAGTCTGCTCCCTCTTCCTTAGTAGATATGATAACTAGCCTGTTTTCTCATTGTCTAAAATCTGGGGTAGTGCCATGTGACCTCTAAGGTGTTGCCCACTTCTAGCCTCCTCACATGCTGCGAAGGGCCTAAAGCCAGAGGATGTGCATAGCTTTTGAGTATTTATTGTTCACATTCAAGTGCCATGCTGTTTGGGTGCATGATGTCTAAACAATTATTCTCTGTCTGACGGAGCAGATCACTGGATGATACTGCATTGTTTCCATGCTGGTCAGGTCAAAGAGGGAGCTGGCATTTCTCGCTTGGAAAGAATTATGATAAGTTCTGGTGCTTTTGTTAGGCACAGCAGGAAAAATGCCTCTTATAGCAGTTGATGAGCTTGTCAAGTAGTCATCCTTTCTGGAGCATAGAGGGGCACAGAATATAAGGGTAAAGGTAGGGATAGCTTATAAAAACTTAGTTTGAATTCTGTCACTGCACTTACTTGTGAACTTGGGCAGGTGACCAAAGTGCTCTCAGCCTCAGCTGTCTGTCTCATCAACCCACTTGGAGACCTTGCATGGATGTTGTAATGGTGCATGTAAAGCACCGTGTGTTGTATATGCAGGTATTCAGGAAGTATTTGTTGCTGTTATTTTTCTATTATTGTTGTTATTAATTTGAAAAATATTTATTTCCTATGCACAAAGGATAGAATAGTTTTTATCAATTGTCCCGCCTAGTAACCAAACCATCTTTATTCCTACAAATTTCTCTGCAACATACCTAGTCTCCAAAAACAGACACTCAGGCATTGTGATCAGGTCAATTGAATTATTTAGTGATTTGTCCCTGGAGCAGCATGTGGGATGGTTTTCCATCTGAGGTCTTTAGTGACAGTCCTACTACTTGTAGCATAATAGGTAGTCTGTTTCACCTCCAAATTTTAAGTATGTCTCCAAGTGAACTACAACTCGGTCCTTGGGAAATTAATTCTGTGTTGCAGCAAGATTACATAATGAAATTAAGTTACCAAAGAAGGATTTGGTTTTTTTTTAAAGGCAGTAGAAAAAGGAGTGTATCTTTGGATGAATGCTATGTTAAAGGCTGTCTGTGATGGAGAGTCCAGAACTATACTCTTCACCCTGTGGCAGTTCCATTTTCTAAGGAGGCAAAGCCTGCATCTCTTTAAAGCCTTCCTGTAGTCCCATCTACAGATAAAAGTGATCACCATCTCAGGAGGTAAGAGAGGATGCATGGAGAGTTGGGATGAACCCAGATTGACCATGTCTGCCATTGTCTAATAACCTTGATCAATTCCCCAGTACCTAGAAGACTGGTTTGGCATAGAAGGACCTCCACCATCTGCATTACCCCCACTCACGATAACCTTCTGGTTATACGGAACTGCAGGGAGGTCCTCTAAATTTACATCTGTTCCCTTTGTCTGTGTGCCTTTCCTCCCCCTTCTCCCTTCCTCCCATGGCTGGTTCCTAGTTCTCCCATGACACTAAGTCTAGGTATCATGTCCTCCAAGTGATTCTCAAGCCTACACATTAGAATTGGGGAAGCTATTAAAAATCCTGGGAGCAGGTCCTAACTCTGATCAAGTGTTTTAGAATCCTTGAAGTCTAGAACCAACCATCAGTGTTTTATCAGCATGTGTGTGTGTGTGTGTGTGTGTGTGTGTGTGTGTGTGTGTTTTAACTCACCTCTCAAATGATGCCACTGTAGAGCCAGAGTTGTGAGCTACTGTCCGTGATAGTAGCGTCCTCATTCTTCTTGGTCAATCTAACAACCAACTAACACAGTACTCGGCACATGTAAATCTTCAGTAAATGCTTGTTGTATTACCAGTGAGCAGGATAGTCATTCCAGGATGCTGTGTCTTTTCATAGTTGCATATCTGTAAGAGTGGCATCTCTGCTTGTCATGATGATGCCTTGGGGACTGAATCCTTTGACCTGTGACCTGTCTCTCTCTCTCCTTTGTTCATTTCTTTGACTTATCCAGGTTTTCTTCTATTATTCTTAAAAATTGAAGTGTTGAGGCCATTTTTAGTGGTTAAGAGCATGTGGGTTTGATTTTGCTCCACCTCTTACTTGCTTTACAACCATGGACATGCCCCTTAATCCCTGCCTCTTCTTCCTAATCTGTAAAATCACATGCCAACTATTTTTTGATACTCTTCTAGACACACTCATCACCCTTCGGCACTCTGCTTTGTGTCCTGGAAAACTTACCTTTTGGAGTGGGTCACCTGGCTTCCAGTTGGATTTAGCCCATGAGAAGCACCAGCAGGATAAGGAGGGTGGAGAGAAAGATGTCTCCCTTCCCTTTAGGATAAGTGGCTGTTTTATTCTGGCTACAGGATCCCTCTCTTACAGCATCAGTTCTTGCTGGGTTCAGAACCTCTGACCTAGGGGTGGTAGCAGCCCCCCACTGTGCCTGGCCCCAGGCTCTTCTTCATGACTTGTTTTCCCTCAGCCCAGGGCGTCACACTTTTGTCAGCAGTCCCTCCATCAGGCTCTTAGGCATTCCATCCTTTTTCTGAGAAGGCCCTGACTGATATGATGAGGATGATCATAGGACCAGCTTCAGAGCATAGTTGTGAGGAGTAAAGGCATTTTAGGGGGAATGCTCAAATTAAATAACCACCATTATACATTTACTGTTTTCATGTCCCTAGGCAAGTGCTCTGACACCTTTGGCCATGGTCAAAACCTTCTGAAAGATTTAATTTTTGACATATAAGTTAAACAATGTTCCCATTCATGTCCTCTTCCCCACTCCGTGTGGAGAGGATGTGTTAAGACTCAAGAGTTATGAAAAATCTGTTTCAAGTCAATATATCAGGTATCCAAAGTTCCTTAACTCCCCTACATGGGGATGAATAAGGCAAAAGGTCCTAGACTGAATATTCACCTACTTGGTGCCAGGCACTTGACATGTGTAAACAGTCTACTCAGCTTCCCAGCCTGGAGTTTAGACCATGTCACCCACATTAGTACCCCTAAATACAATGATTTCTGAGCATGTGACTGCCCATATTACTAAGAAATCAAGTCTTTCTCTAAGGCTATCCCCCAATTTTATAGCCAAGATTTCTCAGGGGGTGCTTTTTTTGCAGCCACAGAGTTAAGTTCTGGCTACTCCAACCTTTCCCAGGGCAGCTGGAATTCTGATACACCTCACTGACGCTAGTGGACACTGTGATATCTGCTCCAAGTCCTCTCTTCCTCAGAAACCAGTGACCACATGTCTCTGGTCATCACTGCTGCTGCCCCTGCCCACACGAGAACTTGGAGACGTGGCATTTGCTTGCTGGGAGTCTGACTGGTTT